AAGTATGCTTCCTCTTTGTTTCCCTGGCACCACTTCTGAACTAGGGTGTATATACTTGTCTTGATAACGTTAACACTTCTATTCACAAATTTACATCAGCAGTACCCAAGGCTGCTTTTCTGGGTATACCTTTCCCCAGAAAAGTGAATTGCATTCCTTAAACAGATGATTCTGGCTGGTGTCCAGCCTGTTTAACACAGATGCCTAACTTGCTTCTCAATTCCAGGCCTCTGATCAAGCAGTCCTCATCAGATAGGTATCTGACTCGTCTGCCTAATCAACCAAGAAAGGCATGTACCTCTGAAGTCCTCCAGAGGGAAAGTCTGCCTGAGTTTAGGACCCAAAAAAGAGGACTGGGCACTTGATAGTCTATTTCATTTGTCAATTGATGTAAAAGCATTACTGCTTACTAGAAACCTTGCCCAAGCTCAGGTTCTTCACCTGTGTGGGCAGGATATCTCTTTAGAGATGTCCAAAGATCTCTTACTCTCTACCTACAAGGAGGTGCTACAGACCCATATGTTAGACAGATTTAGGCAGACAGGATGACCATCTTTGACTTTCATTTGAAAGCATGTTTTCTGTTTTGTTTTGTTGTTTTAGCCTCAGCAAGTTCTAATCCTTTATCTGTACATATGTGTGTGTATGTGTGTGTGCACGTCACATCCCCACTGTCTGAAGGTGTGTGTGGAGGATGGGCAGAGGGATGGTAGTAGCCGCTCCAAAGCCAATGGCAGACCACTGAGGTCCTTCTTGCTCCAGCCATAAGGGAAAAGGTTTTTCCCAGTCAAGGATATGTCCAAGAGCCCCTCCTCACCCTGAAGGTTGTCTTGAGCTGGCATAGGTGAGGTGGCGTCTATGGTCATAGGCACATAGATGCAGTGACCATGGTGTGACCTCCTTTGTGACTGCTGTCTGTAGCCAAAAATGCCCCCATGGGTAAGAGGGATGCTGTTTTGCTTCCTTAAGCACAGCCTAGATCTGTACTGTTCACACTGCTTTTTCTTGAGTGTCCAGAGACATAAGTGACAACATTTCTGCCCTGGGGCATCTTCAAAAAGACAGTTTTCTTCCTTTTTGCTTGAAAAGTGACTGTAGAATCAAATCTTGCATCTGCCTTTGGTGGAAGCAGTCTATTCTCTTCACCCAAACCCCAGGAAGCTTAGGCTGACACTTACAGCTCATCCAGCTGCATAGTTCTGGGACCAGGCCATTGAGAAGGAGACACTTCCAACCAAGCAGTAGCCAACTGTGGACAAGGCATGGAGCTGAAGCCAATGCTCAGTTCAGGGGCTTAGTTCACTGTCTCATCAGCTGAGCATAACGGCACTAGCCAGAAAGCATATTTCAGCTCAGAAAAAAAAAAAAAAAAAAAAAAAAAAAGTCAAATAATAATAATAAAAAACCAAAGAATTTTCTCTAGCCAGCATGCATGACTTCAGGATGAGAGCTGCCAACAATATTCTTCTAACACCCAAACACAAGGTGACGTGTTGGTTGTATACAGTGACTTTTTAGAAATAGGCAGGAGGAAAGATATTAGCATTGCCAGCGGGGTAGAAATGCAGTACCTGAGAACAGGGTGCAGATCTGCCAACTAAGACAAGTGTATCATTATATTCAGTGATTTTTGGTGTTTACTGAAGCAAAATTACCTGGGCCAATACACGGACATTTTCCTTAGTAAGAAAGAAACAGTGTTTCTGTAGATTGCAGCAACCAATCCTAGGCAGTTTCCGTTTTTCTTTCTTTTTTTATTTTTTTCCTTTATTTTTCCTCTCCTCTCCTCTCCTCTCCTCTCCTCTCCTCTCCTCTCCTCTCCTCTCCTCTCCTCTCCTCTCCTCTCCTCTCCTCTCCTCTCCTCTCCTCTCCTCTCCTCTCCTCTCCTCTCCTCTCCTCTCCTCTCCTCTCGTCTTTCCTCTTCTCTCTTCAATTTTTTCCATTTTTGTTTTCTTTAATCAGGCCAAAGCCAAACACCAAAGCAGTAAAATTCCTTCTTTTAATGATGCTGATTTAGGGACCATCATGTCTTCTGAGTCCTTCTACAAGTTTGCTTCTCACGCCATACCAGCATTGCTGTATCCAGAGCCTGCTGCCCTAATAACCACTAAATAGACATAGACATGCAACAACTGCCAGTAGTTGCTTTTCTTTTTCTTTTTTTCCTTTTTCTTCCTTTTCTTTTTTCTTTTAATTCTCAGTAGCCAAAGCAGCTCTTGGTCTATTACTCCCCCATGACTTTAAACTTTCTGGGATGTAATTGCATTAGAGCAGTGCCAGCTCCGGAGTCTGTCCAAGGAAATGGCACAGCTCCCAGTGGACTTTGGCTAGCTGTCCCACGACGCCCCGGAGGCTGGGGGTGGTGCGGGAGAGGCTGGTGCTAACAAAAGCATTCTGGTTGGCAGCGAATGTATTTCTTTTCCAGACTTTGCAAACCGATCTGTGTCTGCGCTCATTCATTCAGTGCATGCTCTCCTCAACAGCCGCTGCACAGCGTTCTGTTACTGTTCACTGTTGACTGTGTGTCTACATTTAAGTGTGTGTTTTACGTGTGTGTCTCCGGCTAGGCCTCCTCCATCCTTTTATTTTTCCTTTCTTTCTTTTTCTTCCTTCTTTCTTTAATTCTGTTTGGTTTCTTTGCTTTGCTTTCCTTCTTGTTTTGCTTTATATAGTTTAACGGCAAGTATTTCCATTAGAGCTTTTTGACTGATGCTGTGTTTGTAAGTTTTTTTTTATTATTTTTATATATATCTTCTTTCCTTACCTTTCCCTTTTTCCACACTATATATAAATATATATATAAAAAAAATCTTTTCTTCTTTTGTCATTCAATCAAATTCCAACAAAACCAACCAAGAGCCAGTCAAATCCACCACAGTCTCGCGCTGAGCTAGGAAAAAAGTTCACGTAATGACATGAAAGTGGAGAATACAGTCCCCCAGGCCGTAAGTTCAAATCAACTCGAAGTTGAAAGTGTGACATGATGGCGTCATGTAACAAGCTAAGAATTGGTTGCATGACATGCCGTCAAGTTTCGTGCAGGTGCCGTGATTGAAGCATTTTTCTTGGATGTTGTATCAGTTGATGATTGGCCAGTCATGATCACATGTGCCTTTTTTGACTTTGTGCTGCCACAATTTTTTGCTGTGCTCATTTTCGTTTCGTTTTTGGTGCTTGCAGTGGTTTCTTTATTTGTCGTTTGATTTCTCGTCAGCGTTTTATGCTTCTCTAGATGTCACATAGAAGGAAAAAAAAAAAAGATGGATTCCTAATTCTTTAGAAAAAAATGGGATTGTTATAACTTTACAGATAATTTGGAAAAAGTAAGAGAGAGAAAAAATGTGTGGTTAATATTTTTGCACTGAAAATCTTGTGATTTTATTTTTTTTCTGGAGAATTTGGGGCCTTTTTCAATTGATGCCTTTTTTACCCCTTAGGATATTTCAAATCACTCTCCAAAATTTTAAAAACAAATGGTAAAAATAAAATAAAAAGCAAAATGATAGTAACAGTAGTTTGAAAACTATAGCAATCAAAAATATATATATATATATACTAACCCCAAGAAAAGCCTCATTGTATGTCTTTTCAAGAATTCCTAATTCTAAGGTTCTGTATTACAGCAACTCCAGACAAAATTAATTGTTTAGAGGGAGGGAGGGATTGTTTTGAATGGGGAAAAAAAATAACCAAAAACATCCAGATCAAAACGCAAAATGCATCTTTTTGTTTACAACTGAAAAAGGGTCCTTGACGAGTGTTTTTTATTTTTTTATTCTATTATTATTTTTGGTGTTGTAATTGTTTAGACTGCTGTGTACGGTTTGCTGTTTGTTGAACCAACAGTGTGAAAACCTGCCAGCATGGATTGATATTCCGCATGACACTTTTCCACCAGAGTGGACCTTTTGCAGTTTCTAAGTTTCTTGATGTAATAAATCACCAAGTGTATAAGAAGAACCTGCTTGCTAGAAAGAGATAAGAGCTAATCCTTAATGATTAAGCATCCTACTTAAATGTCAAGCCTAGTCGGATCATGATTACATTTTTTTTAAATAACTTTTTTTTTATTTAAGAAATGTTAGCTTTACATTTTTTTTTTTCAAAAAAAAAAAAAAGAAAAAAGAAAAAAAAGTTTATTCCAACAGTCTTTTTTTTCACTTAACCTCCTATAAATTACCTGTTCAAAGTCCCACTTTCTGACATTCACAAAAGATGTAGATGTTATTGGCAGCTATGTCTCCACAGAACGCTCACACACTGTCATAGACAGCATCCCATTAAAATGTAGAAGAATTCTTTCTCAATGCCTTTCACACTACCAAAGCCCACCAAGCAAGATTGTGATCTGGCATGGTAAAGTGGCACTTAAAAATAATTAAAACTTAGTTATCTGTACATACATAGTGATACAGATTTAAATAGACATCCCTCACTATTATTTTGATTTATGATTATTATTACTAATAGGAACAATTTTATTTTTCTCTATCATGATCGTGACTACCTTGCTCGCTTTGGGTTTGATACGGTTCTCACTGAAGTCAAGGAGAATCTTTCTGTTGACGAGAGTGGGAGCAGAATCAGAGCCATTGACTCAAAAAGCAAACCAATAAAGCAGAAACCCCATCCTGTCCCAATTGAAGGGAGAAGAAAACACCCATTACTTTCAACAGGAGCAGGATTGGGCCCAAAAGAACAGATTTGTTTTTAATTTCGTTTTCATTTTTAGGTCTCTTTCCCCTCCCAAATATCCCCCTCCCTTCCTACTTCCCCCTTCCCTTTTTGATTTAATTTGCAATGATCTTCTTCATTTTTTAGGGCAGCAGCTGAATGGGCCACAATTAGAAAAACAAAACAAAAAACAAAACAAAACAAAAACACAAAAAAGTATATCTATATTAAAAAAAAAACGGGAACTGTTGGATTACACCTTTGACATATCAGCAAATATCAATCAAGCTGAAGACTTCAGACTTATTCTCTCTTTGATTGTTTAGACTGTAACATTTCTTCAAGAAAAGTATCACATCTGCTGACTTCGAAGGACATGCGCTTGAAAACAAACAAACAAACACATAAGTAAAATCAGAACAGGAACAAGATCAACCAGGATTTCTGAAGAAACACTGATATCACCACAGCGGCTTTTCTTCAAACAGGAGATGCAAACCTGGATACTGACAAAGGAGTGCCTGTTTGCCACCAAGGATGCGGTTACCATGTGCGACCCATGGTAACAGTCACTGAGCATCTTTATCTGTCATTCCTTAGCTATATAGGGACCAAAGGACAAAACTTTTTACCGCAGACTTGTAGCTGTATGTAAAATATGGAAGTTCTTTCCTTTTCTCTGAGCTGTTCCTAAAACAGTTTTTGAGAGCGATTATAAGAAATATATAAAAATTTAAAAAAAAAATGCTTAAATGCTTTTAAAACGGCAAGATAATAGTTCTTTGATACTTTGGGAGGTTCTTTGGTTATACGTTAATTAGAGTCTATGAAGCTTTCATATGGTTTTCTGTATAATACGTAAGGATTGCGCTGTTAAAGGCAGGTTAGATGGATATCTATGAGAAGCAAAAAAGAAAAAACTTAAATAAATACACTAAAAAGCATAGAAGAGAAGAGAAAGGAAAGATGGTTGATATTAAAATGGAAAACAAAAAAAGAAAAGGTTTGTAAATGCTTCTAACTCTCCCCATTTAAAATCCTAATAGTTGTACAGAATTTAAAAAAGAAAGTTTAAAATACCTATATAATAGAAAAAAAATTAGACAACATAAAAAAATAAAAAAAAACAAAAAAGCAAAAAAAAAATAATACTACATAGAAGTTAGCGTTAATGCTAAAACAAAGATGTTGTAGAACTGTAATTTTTGTAGAGTTTAGATTGAGCATAAATTCCTACTCTGCCAATTGCTGTTGGATGCTGTTATTTATTAAGGAGACAAAGGAGATAAATGGCTATTATGGCAGCTTTTTTAACTGCAAGCATTCCAGCTATTAACAAAATAAACAGAATAAAACTCGACTCTGTAGACAATGCAAATGGGAAACAAAACAGCTGTCTTTTTATCAGACGTTAGTTCTAACTTGAACAACGAAACACAGCTAAACGCTTCATGTCTTCATGATCTGCTGTCCGCGAAATTCCCATCATCCTATGCTTCAGTAGCTTCCATATTTGCTCTAGAAACCTTCAGGGCAAGTGATTAGCCTAGAAACCTTAAACTTAAAAAAAAAAAAAAAAAAAAAAAAAAAAATTTAAAAAAAAAAAAAAAAAAAAAAAAAAACCTAAGTATAAAACCTAAGTATAAGACAAACATTAAGCAAACAATCTCTTTGAAGAACTTCTGAAACTGTTTACAAGGAATTTTGAGAAACGGGGATGTTTAAAAAAAAAAAAAATAGATGCTGGCTCTGTTTTTCTGTAAATAAATTTGCATATTTTGTAGGACTTTTAATTGTAATGATAGAGAAAAACAAGGAAAACTATTTAATGAAAGCACGATATTTATCTTTGGTAAATGACTTTAGAGCAGTTAAAAAATAAGACATTGCTTTAAAAAATCTGACTCAGAAAAAAACAATGAATTATTTAAGAACACATATATTTTAAAGTATATCATATTTATTATAATTTATTTTCACAGTCTTAAAACTTGATTTACATCATTCTCACACTTGTTTGCATTGACTGAGCAGTGTGATAATTGTTTGATTCTTTGATTTAACTCTGTTTTAATGTTCTTGTTTGTTTTTCTTAGCATTTTTTATCTTGATTTCAATCTCCTTTTTTCCTTTTTTTTTTTTTCATTTTTTTTCATTTTTTTTCTCTTTTTTTCTTTTTTATTATTTTAATTTTTAATTCCCTAATGGGCCTGATCTTCCCGTCCTTACTCCAGCAGAACTCCCACTGGGACATGTTGGGTATTTTGCCTGAGCAAGGACAGCCAGACTGAGCCCACAGCTAGGAAGTACAGATGTGTAACGCAGCTGCAGTTCCATACAACTGCTCTTTCACTCTCAATTCCCTAAAACTCCTTGTAATCTTCTGTAATTATTGAATGACGCTTTCCAGCTTAGCCCTAAATAAAGCACAGTTTAAAAAAAAATACCATGTTCTTTGCTTCTTGATGGCTTTCCTTAATGTGTTTGCTTTGAGAACGAAATGAATCTATTTCAACTCTTTCATTAATATACATTGTTTGAGTATCAGAACAAATCCCTTTGTTATATAAAACATATCTCATTGGATTGAATTAATGACACTGTTTCATTTAATGTCTGCTTGATATTCCACTGTGGTTTACCTTAAACCTAGTAGGTTAGTAGATCAAATAATGGTACATACAAATTAGAGTCATTGTAGCTCCTGTTTGAAGCCTGTTGTTTGATTTCACGCTCACGGTTTTTTCATGCTGATAAGTATAGAGGCCAGAGCTTGGGACATTGTTCCTTTTGCTGCTTTGGGACAACCCTGTGAAATTCAGCAGTCTCCAGAGATGAGGTTCAGTTTCTTCCTGAGCTTCCCTCACATCTCATTCTTTGAATGATGGCTGTTCCCTCACCCTCAAATGGCTGTACCAGGTCAGCTGAGCCGAGGACAGGGCTGAAATCAGGATCTTTGTGTTTCAGTCCCAATACTTGCAGCTATGTCTGCTTCTGGACAAGTTGCACCAGCTAAATTCATCTCTAAATAGGACTAATGGTGCTTGTCCATAATATGAACTCCACAGATGGAAGGAGTTCTATTAGTAGAAACTCCTATTATTACTATTATGAGTTACTAATGTCTGTTCAGGGCTGTAGAAATAAATGAAATGTAAATCAGGTGATGAATACTGGGAGGGAATATGGTCAGTATTATTATTTTTTTATTCATCTGAAAGAAAGGGTAAATGCAGAGGAGCACATTCATCAGTCTCATCTCTGCTTACAGCACAGAAGATGCTCAGAAGAGGATTAATGTGAGGGAATCAGCCTCAAACACCACTGAGCTAGAAAATGAGGATTAGGTCTCCAGTTTCTGCCCCAAAGCCAATTCAGCATCCTACCCCAAGCTGTACGGACATGGGAGACAAACAGAGGTTCATCCTCTGATATCAGCCAGTTTTGAGTGTTAGATCACCCAAAGCCCTTCAAAGAGAGGAAAAAACAGATAGGGAAGAGGCATATTAAGAGTGGTGCTGAAAGCTGTTGCCCAATTCCCTCTCTATTTCTCAGGCTGTCCTCCTAGCTCTTCCTCGTGGTCCCCAAACTCTGTAGATCCCTTCTTTCTGATACTACATCAGTACAGTGGGTTTGGGCATCCTGCATGTCACAGTGCACCTGAAAGGTGTACCTGCAAGGGCATGGCCACGTGGCCTAAGTAAGGTGGAATATGTTCCCAGGACATCCAGACAGGGACATCCTTGGCTAATACAATATAGCTGGGGGCTGATAGTTGCATACTGTGAAATGAGATTTCAGAACCTTTTCTCAGGTACCTGCAATATACAGTAGGTAAAATATCCAGTGCTGGAAAGCGATCGCAAGGGGAGACCAGAAAACACTATTAAAGCTACCTGGGTGGCCCAGCTCAGTACTTGACTCCTAAAAATACCTAGCTCCTTAGAGACACCATAAGGGTTGCAGAACTGGGGAACCTGGCTATGAAGACCAATAGTGACAACCAATGGAACAGTAGGGACCTTGCATTCTCCTCACTTTTTTGTCCAGCGTATCCGCAAGTATTTAAGTGGGAAAATCTCCAGTCCCATTCCCCCCAGAAAACAGAAATACTGCAAGACTGTCCACCCTTTGGAGGTTCATTTAACACTGGTGTACAGGGGTACAGAAGCCTTGCTGTGACAGTACTGCTGCCTGAACCATGTGGTGTTTACTTGCTGAGCTCTACTCTCAGGTTATATTGAAAACACAGACTGAAATAGGATGGGCTGAAGCAGAAATGCAGACTTGGCCTTGTGGTTTATTAAACACCCTTCTCTGGGCTGTTCACACATACCCACCCTGTTTTAAGCTTTAACTGTTTGCTATACGGAGAACCTTTGCTTCTTTCAAACTGCCATCAAGGTGCTATATAATCAATAAAGCTTTGCAGCATAGGTTGGTTTCAGCATGAGGCTGAGCTGTTGAGACAAGCCCCAGTGTGAAGCCCTGAAAATGAAGAGAAAGGCAAAGCCAGCCTGAAAGACTGCAGCTGCCTGCACATATGAACCAGAATGCAGCAGACCAGGAACACTATTGCAGAAGCTCAAAACCACTGGGTGTTTGACGCTGGGTCCTCTTTCTTATTTATAGCTGTTAAATCACATTACATGAAACTAAAGGTTTGGTTAAAGGTAAAGCATGCACCCTTCACCATGGAGCCCACCCCCATGAACAGCTGAGGGCAACCTTTGGTACGAGCCATGGTTTGCAGTCACTATTTCTGGAGTCCCATGGAAATGCCTCAACCACAAATCATGCTTCTGTGTCTCTAAGACAACAGAAAATCCCTTTTTCGAGGCAGTTTTCCAAATCTGCATTTTCCAACATAGCCACACACAAGAGAAAACTTTTCCTCCCCCCACTGCCACCCCATCCCAACTCGCAGCAGCTATCCATTAAGCCACTTATAATATGGAGCTCTTCCTGCTGTCCATTTGTCTACCTGACATCATGACACTGTTGGTAATGTCCTTGTGAAGCAAGATGAGGACTTTTCTGCTTTGAATATTTCAGTTTCTAGCAGCACATTTCCCATTGTTGCAAATGCGCCAGGACACTGACTACCATGAATCATGCCAAACATTCCTGTTTATGGCCCCAGGAAGCCAATCACACTTCACAGGGCTTTTGCAAGGGGAAACACATATCACTGGGTGCCTGGGTGAGATGTACAAGCTTGTGTACAGCATCTCTTAGAAAAGGAAGCTGCTGATGTTGTTGCCTATGAAGGTCCCTTGGTACATTCCATTTGAGAATACCTGGCTCATCCTGTCACTTCAGAGCCAATGGAACATGAGGTCATGGTCTCCAAATGCCTTTTGGAATGTCACTGGTGCTCTACTTACTGAAGAAAACAGATATTAATTCTGATTTTAGTTCCATGGCTTCCCTCTAACTACAGTAAGCACTCTCAGTACAACAGACAAATCCAAAATAAATCTTTGGAAGGTACAAAATCAGAACCCTTGTGCTCTATTTGCTGGGTGAATGAGGTCACTCTGGTATCTCTTTGCACACTTAAAGTCACCACTGGTACTGTACAAGCTTTTCTTAGTGCTCACTCAACCTTGAACATCCTACACTTGTTCTGAAGAATCCATATAGCACTATCACTGATAAAAACACAACTGATTTTGGTGGCAAGAAACACTTTGCTGCCGAGCGT